GTAGATTTTACCTTCTCTGCAAGCTTCTAATATATCTAGTAAGCTGCTCCAAATGTTCTAGCAATTTTCAGTGTCTAGTTCAATCTTCTTCATAGTATTTTCTGGGGTTGTTAAATAAAGGGAAAATACTCTAACAGATTTTTTAAACTCATAAAATGGCTAAGTCAGTTGTAGGAACTATGCTGGCTCCATTGAAAGAGGTAGTGAGAAATTAAATACAGGTGAGGACCAAAGCCATTCGGTCTCTCACCCACCATAGAGTTCTGTAGGATTAGCCACAACCAAAATCGACTGCAGCCCCCATATGTTAAGGAATTAAAAAAATTGTCTTGTACATTTTCTTTGTTCAATACAAAACTAACCAAGTGTGAAGACAATCGCTTTGCAACACCCTCCCCTCACCTTTTGCTTTCCTGGTTGGTAAATTGAAAGACAGTTAGTACACATTTAGCTCACTTTTTATCATGTTTATTTTTCCCTAACATGGACTCCAGGATTTTTGTGCGTATCATGAAAAAAAAAAAGAAATGCAGAGTGGCATTGATTCCTGCACTCTGTGCCATGTGCTGCTCATACTGAGCAAGCTCCTACTTAACAATGTAGTGGCCTGTAGTCATCAATTTAAAACAGTTTCAACGATTGGATAAGTCACTGAAGCCTGCACACACAGCTACTCAAGATGATGAAAATGGCTTCGGCAGCATGACAACAACATTGAATGTGGCCCCGTGGTGTTTTTCAAACATCTGTGTGTGAAAATTATCAAAGAGTAAAAATGAAGCACAGATCTTTGGTGTATATGGATTGAAAATACAAAGGGTACATCTTAACTAGAGGATTAACAACCAAATCAGAGACCCTTTGGCACAATTTGGATATATGCTGATAAGATTCTGTTGTGGGAAGCATTACCAGATAACTAACCAGATATGTTTTTGTCACAATTGTAGAAATGCTATACATTTTAGACAATCAAATAAAGTTATTTAAGTCTCACATTGGCCTTAGTACCAAAAACTACATGATATTTCTGAATTTATGCATGATATTTGAATACTATTTGCAGAGTATGTCAAATGGTGTGGTATGTTACTATACGTTACCAAGGTAGTGGTATGTTACCATTACCATTGAGAGGTTAAATGGGAGGTATTCACTGAATAAACAAATATCTGCTCATCTAGACTCTGATCAAGAAGTTAAAGATGCAAATCAGCTAAATTAATCTTCCAAAATATTTACAAATTCATCTTTACAACGTGTTACACCATTTTATCAAGAAAAAAGGTGTAGAAATAGGAATGTTTTTTGCTGTTTAAAAATATTTTAAATGTTTGTGAAGATATCTGTGTCAATATAATTATATTGTCAATAGTAAATACTATAATACTATGAGGATTCAATGGTAGCCAGTGCCTAAAGTTGGATTATATATACAGCAAACATCATGGATACCAAAATATATATCTTCTGATGAACATATACAGCACTTGCTTTGTTATCTATAGATTTAATTTGATAGCTGTGGAAAATATTGCAAATAAAATGATATTTCGATACGGTGATAATATCATATTGTGACCCAAGTATCGTGCCATGTATTGTATCAGAACACACATGCCAATACTCAACCCTATTGCTGACTGCAACCAAACCTTCAAATTGTAAGAAACCAGCAGACTCCTGCAGCACCAAAATTTCTTCTTTCTCACAATTTTCAAGAAACACACTGATTTGACCCCATCAATTATATATTTTTTCTCTCTCAATAGGGCTGTTTAATGATACAACAGTGTAAGCACGTCTTTAATCGTATTTACCAAACTCTACAGGGTCAATGTCAAAATTAAGACATAAATCTAGATACAGGATAGGTTTTAGAGACATCCTCCCAATTGCCCTCCAGATAAAACAGAAGACCTGACCTCTGAAAAGTGCATCGGAAATATTTGTGACCTGCCTTTTTATGAAAATTCACTGACCGAACATTTTCGAGAGCAGCATTTTTCTGTCTTCCCTCCATTTAATCACTGTCCCCTACAGACCCGATCTGAGTTTATGTGGATTTGCATGTGCTCAAACTCACCAACAAACAACAAGATGTCCAAAACAGGGTTAAATGAGCAGAGTGTGTGTGGGTCAAGTAGATTGAGATCTCAGTTGTGACAGCTGGACAGTTGAGAGGTTCAGATAAACAGCCCGCAGAGAACCAAGAGATGAGGCCAATAGCATTAAAACAAACACTTCACTATTTGCAGTCTCCAGCAGATAGGGAAAGGAGGACATATATCTATGAGTGGACGAGTCGCTGAACCCACAACAGCTCCATTATGTGCATGTTTGCGTGCATGTGGAAGCAAAAAGACAGTTGGGACGGTGGGGGTCGCTGACAATGATGATGGGGGGGTATCGGGTCTGTGTTCTGAATACCAAACCACTGAACACATTTGCAGCATTCACTCATTAAGAAATAGGTCAAGGATTCTGTTCGCATGCGTAGCAACTTGTCAAAATCTCTCAAGCTGAAGTGTGGCGAGTCTCACTGCCTTGAGGGGGGGAATCCATGGAAGAGCCAGCACTGTATTCTGCCGATGCCAGTGGTGGCAGAGCAGACAGATAATAAGCAACACCTCAAAGTAAAGGCTACTCAATGCAAAGTTAAATTGAGGGTTACAAATGATTATAGCTCATTGCTCTTTATCAACAGAGGACGCTATTGAGCCAGCAGAGTTTGTCCCAGATGCTGATGAATGCTGATGGTAGCAAAGGATTATGACACTCTTCAGAAAGTCTGCAGTCCATTAGGGGAGCACTTGCTCTTACAGCAGTAAAGGTCATTTTTCTAAATGAAGTAACAGCAATTAAAAAGACATTTCGGGGTTAAAACCAGCTCCATCCTGTCTTGACTTAGATCTATCTCAAAATAAATTCATCACTCTGCACTTAAAGCAAGCAAGGCAGCATATTTTCCATCGGGAACTCAGGTGACTCTCAGACTTCACTAAACTACTTCTAGGGACAAAGGCTTAACCAGTAATTTTAAAGATGTCACAGCTTCTTGAAGCTAGGTCAACTTGGAAAAAAAGACCAGTCCAAATAATTTCTCCGTGAGGTAAACTTCATTGATTTTACTAACCTGTGATGTTGAGGTTCACGAAACTGCAATCTCGGATAAAAAGACTTCAAAGGCACCGCTTAAGAAAAGAGAATTATTTAGAAAGGATAACAAACTGTCTGCTCTCTTTTACGTCAATTCGTTAAACCTGTCAACAAAAGCACCAAAGCCTAAAATAATAGGTACGTCTGATTTATTGAAGCCTAGTGAGAGTTTATAAGAGAACAACTAAATGCAAGCCCAAGACAAAAGAAATTACTCTTTTTCGTACTACTATACGACTTGTTGCAAAGCTGAGCTGGTTTGAAAGAGAAAGAGCACACCGAGGCTGCTTCTTCACCATTATTAGATTGGAGTTAATTAGGGGAGCATAATCAGCATGTCATAATCAAACCTATTCTGTGTGCTAGTTTACTCTTCTAAAGACAGCCGTGCGATACCCCCCCCCCCTAGCCTGGCAGTTGCTTTTCAGTGTGGGGTGGGGGGGCACATGACCGTTTCCCTTTGAGATGGATATTAAAATAATTGTGTGCAGGGGTCATGCTTCAGAGGCAACAAAAATGTGATTTTGCCAAGAAAGAACTGGTTTTGATTGCAAGGGCAAAGGGATTAATATGCTACCCATCAGCCACGGCAGATGTAAGTCATTTTCATGCAAATGTGAAGCAATTTTCTACTCAAGACAACATTTATTTTCTTTGGAGTCACTGTCGTGGGCGCTCGCCAGGGCACTGGCAGTCTGACAAAGAATTAAGATTTGTAGGTGCATCGGCTGTACGAGACAGATGAGGTCTGGAGTCAATGTGAAGCTCCAGATGAGACAAAGCCAAAAGTGTAACAACAACGCTCTTCTGATAATGTGAACACGATTAGTCATCCATCAAAGCCAAATTTAAGAAAATATTATAAGTCAGAAAATCATTTAATTTGCAGACACAAGGCTCACTTGTTGCAGGGAAGCGGGTCATAATCAACTACCTCATATAGTTAAAATCCCCAGCCAAATGGATTTCTTGGATGTTTTATTTAACTAGAGTCTATGGGTCAGAGTAATTTAAATCCACAATTGTGATAACTGATGGCAGAATATATAGACCTTTTTATTAGGACTGATAGATAAAGCACGTGCCAAAAGAAATTAAGAGTTCAAAAAAACTGAATTCTTATCTGCAAATTAAAAAAAGTTGAAAGTAAATCAAGAGACCTCAACAAAATAATCAGTTTGAGATTTCCACTTTTGTGTCTGTACTCGGTTTAGTTAAATAGAAATAAAATAATACTGTTGTATTGCTTGGGGAAGAGTTGGGAAAGATACTCTGATTTTCAGTCCCAGCTTTTATGCATCTTGGCATGATCTGTTCCACTGCTGCTGGGTTCAGATGGCCAACCAATCTATACCTGAATAAGAGGAATCAGGTTTTAGATACAACTGAAATAAAAAGAATTGCTTTTATAAATGTAGTGATTTGGGAAGGGGAAAAAACAGAGATGTCACATCATGTTTCTGTAAAACTGTAGTATTGTTAGAAATTAGAAAGCCAAACTGTAGATATTTAAAATAAAACATAGGTAACAGTGATAACCTATAGTTTACAAACAGAATCTGTACTTTACACCTCTGCTTTAATGTTTTCATACATAATAGGACTATTTGTAATGCACGTTTATTTGTGCGTCAAAGTGTGAGCTGTGGCACCGACACAATGTAAAACAGGCTGCCACCTTATCAAAGCCTGCAGCCTGAGATGATAAATGTCTCCTCCAGGTTGTTTCTCTGCAGTGTCGGAAATGAGCTCTTCTGCGGTGTGGAGAGGGGCTGTTTGTGGCACTCAATGAGGGCAAATAAAATCCCTGTAAAGGCAGATCAACTGAGGTGAGCACTCACCTTCTCAATGTGAACTGGATCTGTTGGTTCCTTCAAGAGAGGACTGATGCGCTGCGCTCACATCCACAGTAAGAATGGGGGGAAATGATTCCAAATGCGCTCAGTAAAAGGTGTTTGTTTTATGGAAAGCTCTGTGTTAGTAGTCCCGGTCCCTTTAATGCAGGGTAGCCTCTCTGCTGGAAGGACCTGTTAAGCGGTGGCGTCATTCATTCACAGTGGGCACCGAGCAGCTCATTGGGAATGTAGCGCGTAAACTTCAGGCATCAGCATCTGAACTGACCTCCGTTGACTTGAGCGGACCGTGTCAGTGCGGCAGCGGGTGCATTCCTCCGGGCTCCGCAGTCAAACCTTCCTCCGGTGCTGCTCACCGCGCGAGACCTTCAAGCCGCGGTGTGGTTCGCCATCACCCGCCGATGGAAGGAGAAAGGTGTCGGTTCAGAGCCGCAGCGTGGCTTCCTCACAAACCTCTGCCGGACTCACGCGCACAGACTGGCGGCTCCATCAGAGTGCAGCGGTGTGTTGTAGCGGGTGGCGTGTGTGAGTGTGTGTGTGCTGCCATTGGCACAGAGCACCGGTAAACCCAGCCCACTCACACTCCGGCTCATTACAGCGTTAACTGTTTCCGCCCAGAAATACCAGAAATGTGATACATAATTTAGAAAATTATTATATCTGAAATATGAAACCGAACATTGAAGTCAGTTTTGCCAAGCACTTAGCAGTATGTAATTTTAGAAATTTTTAACTTTCGATTTATAAAGTTTTTCCCTTAATTAATCATAATTAAAAAAAAAAAAAACATTGGCTTAACTACTGCAATATTTCAATTCAATTTTATGCAAGTCTCTTGGTGGATACTTTCAAATTTTTTGCTTGATTTCCTTTAGCCATATCATAAAGATATAATAAGTATTTATACATTAGTTTATATTAGTACAACCAAATCAAAAAGCTGACAGTTCTTACACTGGACTCAGTCTTCCCAGCAGTCCACAGGTTCTCCTCATCTACATTGTATTTAAACACTGCCATCTATAGGCCAAACTGTGAACATTATCTCCCTCTCTTTCTCTCTCTCTCTCTCTAGCTCTCTCACACAAACACACACACACACACACACAAATGTACACTTTTATTTCTCATGTCCATTTTTGTCTTTCCGCTTTCCTGTTTCCCTTTTGGACCTGACCCATCAGTGTCTTCAGATAATGGATGAATGGGAAGTTGATCTTTTTTTTTGCCTTTCCAGGCAAATGTTCAACAGATCAATGCGTTCGAGGTTCTTGACAACATTAAAGTAAGAATTGTCATTGGAGAAGTAAAGATTTTGCAGAAAAGTTCACATTTCACGCAACATATTTATTAAATAGTATAATAATAATAATAATATGTTAAATCGTCAGTATCCAAATTTTCTGTCTCATTTTCGAAAACCAAAACAACACTTACATTTGAACAACACTTACACAGAATCTTGTAAAAGTTTTAATTACCTTGTTAAATTGTGTTGCTTTCCTGTTGCAAAACCCTGCAACCTCAATATATTTTATTGAGGTTGTGGGTGATTTACAGTAAAAAAAAAAAAAAAAAAAAAAGTAATGCCTACACTTATAGAAGCCTTGCAAAAAATTTCTTTGCAAAACAGCCCCATCGTCAAGTGAATCTCAGACCATTAATTCCCAGTCTTATGGCTGGATGATATGGCTAAAACTTGTATCACAATATATTTCTACATTTCAGTCAATAGGATATAATTTCAATGGTGATATAAACAAAATAAAAAACTGCTAAGAATGCCCACAACAGATGACTGCATGCTCATAAAACTCCATAGATATAACATATTATAAATTTTTGCTTAAAAAAAACTGAATTTCAGTCAGTGAAATATAATGTAATCATATACTTTGTTTTATATTAAAATATCAAAAACTTCATATTACCATTATTAAATAAAATCTCTATCTATATTTATATTTAATATTTTTCCAGTCCTACTTACACTGTATTAAGCTACATATATCTTTTTCCCATCTCAAAGCTTTCCTGTCATTGAGTGCTGCCACTACCATGCTTCATGGCAGGCATAGAAAGTTTGTGAGGGGAATGAGTTTTAAAATAATCTATTATTCTTCTTTCACCTCAAAACGATTTGTAATTTTTTGTTAATCTTTCATAGAAAATAATTGTCAATCTAATCTTTAAATCTCATGTGATAAGTTGTTTTATAAAATACTTTAGATTTCCTCTTTAATGTTTTCCAGTACAAAGTTCTTTAAGCTCTAAATATATGAACTTTGACATAGTTACTAACACATCAAAACAAAACTCTGGCCGTGTGCATCTTTTTTGGAGGGTTATTGCAAAAAGTAGGCTATCCACTTTCTCTGATGCATCAATAATGCAGAGTAGGGAAAAGGGAGCCAGCATCTGCCATCAGAGGTATTGCAAAACTGCCAGGAGGAAGAAGATGTGGAACAACCAGCGTAAGTACACTAAAAGCACAGCGCCCACTTAAAGACAGGGTCAATAGCTGGAGGGCGTCCATATTGGAATTCTGCCGCACTGCTTCTCAAATGGATCTTAGTCAAACCTGGGCAGCCAGAGTAATCAAATACAGACTTTTTCAATCCATTACTCATGACCCTGTTCGGAACAAGCCATGATTTGTTTGATTGGATCATAACTCAATTCACATTGAAAGAACAGGTCGCCACGGAACAGTATGGACTAGATTTGCCCTGTTTTGGGCAGAGGAAGCATGATAGATTAACTCATTTTGCGAGGAGAGGTTTGGTTATTACCTACAGAACAACTGCATCTACTATGTCTCACTTTCAGATGTATATCGACAGAATAAGTTTTGTTCTGCCAGTAGAGACTGTAAAACAAAAAAGTGAAGAGAATACATAATGCTCTGCAGAAATTCCAAGAATGTAGCAGCAATCACCTGCAAAACAGGTAATACCGAGCCTGTTCACATTTTGTGATATTGAAGTGACTCAATGCGCCTTTTTTGTTTTAATAGGACTAAAACAATGGCTAACACAATGTAGTACAAGATACATTCTATTATTTATTTCCATCTAAAAAGCATGGAGTGAATATATATTCAGCCCCTAAGAGGCTATGCTTTGGGGATAAATCTTTCTCTGGAATTATTGCTATATATATGATGTATGTCTCTACTGGCTTTGCATATCCAGGAACTAATTTTTTTTTTTTTTTTTGCACATTCTTCCTTGAAGAGAGGTTCAAGCTCAGTCAGATTAAATAGAGTAAGAACATCAAACTTCAATTATAGCTTCTCAAATGGACTTAGCTCTGGTCTTTAGGGCTTTCTGCCATATAACCATGGTTGGATCTGAGCCATTCCAGTGTAGCCCTCAAAGTATGTTATATGTGGTTGTCCTCTTTCTGTCTCTCATGACCAGCCTACCTGTCCAAACTGGACAAAATGAGTGTCCTTAGTATGATGCTACCTCTACCATCTTGTATGACAGAGTGGGATGTATTCAGAGATATGTAGCCCGTTAGTTTGCAACTATGCATGTACTAAATAAATTAATGTGTTTCACCAGTGACCTCTTAAGTCCTTTATAGAACAACTGTATGTTTATATAGAGACTACATGACTCTGAAGCCCATTTCCCACAGAAAATAGCAAGATAATGCGCGTTTTTCAAACATGGCTCCCTTTCCACTGGCCACAAAAGCTGGGTCTAACCTTGAGCTGGCAAGCTGCGTGGCCTCTGTCCCGCCGCAACTGCGTGCCTGCTGACACCATCACGCTGGGTTAGCTTTGATGAAGTCACCAGTGAGACAGAAATAATGAAAGTAAACAATGGAGAGAAACATGTAAGGAAGCCAGGGAGAAGTAAGGGTGCTTTATTGTTTCGCTCTATTATCTTTCCGAATCTCTCTTACCAGTGCTGCGCCATGTTTATTAAATGTAAACAGGAGTTTTTTTTTGGCTTGTTAGATCAGTAACGACTGGCATGATGTGTTGACATCTGTATGATGCATTCAATGGTGTCACGTAATTTAGCGGGTCAACCCGGCTCTGGTCTTCCCACAGCATGCCGATCAGAGCTGAGGCAATTTTAACCAGGTCGCTTGCCGAGTTGGCACAGGGGTAGACCCACGTCAGTGAGCTGTTCCCACTGCCAATTAAAGCTTATTGTTCCCCGATTTAAACTGGTTTTTCGACCAGTAGGAAAGGGGTATAACATGGACTCCTCTAGCATTCAGGCGATACCTTGAGGCAACAAATGCGCACCACACTTCAAATATTATTTGTAAAGGAAATGCAACTATGCTTCCAGTTCATTCCCACTTCCCAATGCAAACTTTCATAAAAACAAATCAGTTACATTATGGGGATGTAGCTAAAAGCCCTTGCTGAAGTGTAACTGATAAACAAGAAACAGGGGAGTTAAAGCTTTGGTTTATATGAACAAGAATCAGGATATACAGTACTGGATGTTTCACATTCAGGGTTGTTTGTATAAAACCATTGATACTCAGAGTAGTCGGATGAGCATAGAGACTAATATGTAAAAATTGTGGGTTGAAGATCACTTTAGTGATTTTATGAAATAGTGTCCAGGTAAGCAAATATTTGAACACTGCTAAAATGAAAAAGCTCTGCTAATATTGTATTGAGAGATTTCTATCTACAGAGCTCTTCATATTTTTGCCGATCAGGGGTCTGATATGCAAAGATTTACAGCTTGTCTGGAGGGTACACAGGGTCTCCAATTCACAGTATTATTATTATGTTTCTTCTTCTTTATTTCAGTATATGAGGGAACGTGGGAACTCTTTGCTGAGCCACTGGCCCCTCCTGTCCCTTTTCTCTGCAAAGAAACCCGTCAAAGATCAAAATAAATACCAGGAATTAATTAGATGATAAACAAAATCTGAGTCAAAATGCCAATGAGCTGCTTTTCACAGCTAAATGTCAATTATAATACCTCTAATTAGCAATTCATTTTTCAATGATTGTTTTATTCAATTGTTTATTGAAGTACAGAAGCCTATGAACTGTTTAGTGTAATAGGAAACATTAACAGATTAGCCACATTTATTGGAACCTCTACTAAATATTTTTTTCAAGCCTTAAAATCCTTTCATCTTTATTTAAGACACATAAATTCACCCTGCAAATAAAAATCAAAGTTCAACATCTGGTTCCAATAATATTACCAACTTTGCATGGAGTATGTGTAGGGCTTGCTTCTGTCATGTTTTTTTTAAGGCTTCTAACCCACATGCAAAGAGAAAACTCCCAGGAGACAAAACAATATATATATGATAAATAGGTTTATTGGAGAGAAAGGAAAAAGGCAATGGGGAGATCAGTATGGCTGGGGAGACAGGTTCTATGACCAAGGGATTCCTTCCGCCAGGGAAAGGCAAGTGAGGTCTGGGGTTGTAGCTGTGAGTAGTGATGGGCTATCTGAAGCCAGGCTTCGAGGCTTGTACCGAGTAATAAGGGGGCGTGTCAATGAAGCCCCGCTTCGAGGCCTGTGTTGTCTTGTTGAAAACCACG